GTACTTTTCTTAATAACTGAATATTTAGTTGTTAATCATTACACAAAAATAATAATTAACATGTGGCTTAACTGAGAACCGAGAATTTTAATTAACTGAGAAAATTGCCAAAAACGTTTTTTACCTCGTTTGATGGCAACGCAGGAAAATTTAGAAGAAAAGAAAGACTTAATTTTCAGATATTCCAGAACGACCACGCCACCTAAAATGGGATCGAATTACCTGACTGCACGGAACATGTGCACGAACCTCATCGGTATTCTTAACTACTTCGGAAACGATGTTTTTCCGAATATTCCGCAGTTTAAATTAGTGCTTTTTAGATACTTCTTTCACAGAACAATTAAAAATGATTTTAACTCAAATTAAATGCATTATTATTATAGTATCCCGATTTTTTTCTCTTGAGCCGTGAGCCCAACACTTTGAGCCCAGAGCCCAACCAAGATTTTGGAATTGAGCCCGGCCATTTGAGCAATGAGCCCTGAGCCCATATACCATGTTACGAGTCTGAAGGAGAAGAACGACCACAGACATGTTCGCTGGAAGACTCGGAAGCAAGTATTATCCAAAGGTCAACGAGTGACAATCATTGCAAACAGTCTCTAGACGCAATGACGTCACTGTATTCAACCCTTCAAGCACTTAAACCAATGAACTTTGCGAATAATCAAACAACGAAAAAGCAATGGTTGCCAAAGAAAAAATCAAATGACACGTCACGCGAGCACGAGCTTTCCAAGCGTCGTGACTCATCATAGTCACACCATAGCTGCTCTATAGGATAGGCTTGAAACACAAGAGGCGCTATTATATTCAGGATAGAAATATTTTATAGAGGAAAGGTTTTTGTCCTACTAGTACGTTTGTTTTAATACTTGATTCTTCATGCAAATCAAAAATAGGATATTAATGTTGCTCGTCATTTGGTTGATGCCGATCTTTAGAACCGTGGACAGTATTTATGTAGACGAAAAACGTATATATAGTCTAGAAATTGAGAGTTTGCTGAAGAAGGCCGAAGTGCCGAAACGTTCGAATAAAGAGTAGGAATACTAGTTGCAAGTTGTGTGCCTTTTTCTTCAATTTATTCAATTATATAGTCTAGAAATTATGTACATTTTCACTAGTCAGAAATAAAAGGAGAGTGTAGCGGTGAAAGAAGAAGAAAAATGGGAGGCTTGCATTATTCGTCTCGTCTTAATTTTTTTTTTCCTGAATGAAAATAAAGCAAAAAATATCGTGTTTAAGGTGGTGGAGAATCGGTTTTATTGATGAAGAAGTGGTGTCTGGTTTTGATGATAAACACTACCTGGTTTTACCGGTGGAGGAAGTTGCATACCCCACCAGTAGGAAAGAATAGGTATATTACATGCTCACTGGAACTTTGGAGCTTGTTACTAGTTACTTTGTTTAGTTTGGCGATCAGTTTTCCTACTCCGTCCCTCCCTACCCACATCATACACATACTTGAATAATTGAACTTCGGTCCTATGTCATTTCATATGTGAAGACATTCCCCCCCCCCCCTCCCCCCATATTACTACAAAGACAAATAATTCCACTATATTCATGGCAGCGATTTTGTGTTCAGCTATAGGATTGAAAATATAAATACTATCGACTCTACTCCTCTGCCTTCTACTCCTGTTCCTTCTCTTCTCCGGGGCAAACCATTTCTTTTACAATTTCTCTGATTTTTTCCTCTGCATCTGATGTATTCCCTTTGTGCAGACTAATGGATGATGTTACTAGAATGTATAAATCGAAGGGCAGAACTGCTAATCCAAAAGCAAAACCCGCGATATAAAAGGCCCTTGATACTCCTGACATTACCCTAAAAGCAGTTGTTTCAGCTGTTTTATCAACTGTGCGTGCGGCAATCTTGACCAACTTTGCAATGGAAACGAACTCATAGACAAGGTCTTTCCCAATAATTTTTCCCAACCTGCCTGCATCTTTTACAAGGAAGAATGTGTCCATAACAGACATAACACGAAACCAATATCCCGCACAGTTTTCATCTCGCTAAAATAAATGCAAATTGAGGATATAAACAAAACCAATAACTCGCAATGGAACTGGTTTATAATACAGTTAACTCTCTTTGAACGACCACTCTAGTAAGCGACCATCTCCCGTAGGCGACCACCTTTTAAATTTCCCGTTATAATTGTTTCCCATATAAACTTTGTAAAAAAACCTTTCTCGTAAGCGACCACCTCTCGTAAGCGACCTTTTTTTCCTGATCCCGAGGTGGTCGCTTACGAGAGAGTTGACTGTATTATTATATACATTCAGAATCTCAACCATACATCATGCAGCTCCCTAGTCAATAACATGACTATATCTCAATCTTATAGATCGACCACTGTATTTTATTTGTGATTTAAATTCTGTCTATATTATATGGCGTCGGCAATAGTCTATTGATAGACAGACCTATTTTCATTATATTTTCAACACTATTTGTTGAACTGCACATTATACCCATAAAAACAGAGTATTATGTTTATATAGTCCGTTTAATAAGAAATGACATTACATATATAGATAATCTTAGGTTTTCTTTTTAGGACTTTCAAGTCTTCTTCTTTCTACTGAACATACTAAACCTGTGGTGTCACAAATTTAATCTTAAAACATTTATATTAAAACATGGATAGACAACGTGATAACGATCGGATCGAAGTTGCTACAATTCCTCTTTTCCTTCTGTATTTTGCTTCTCCACATGACTTGGATGAGCTCCACGTGGTTCTGATGCCGCACGGAGTGCTTCGGGAATGAGCCAGTTCCAGTATGCCATAAAATCAGCTCGAAGGTGGCTGTGGATCGACATGTTATTAGGTTTCAATGACATGTATTGCTGTTGTTCCTGGTTGTATTCAGGCCAAGTAACATCCACTCTAACCGGACTGTTTGGATCTCTGGACAAAACAAGTACATGCCGAATTAGAATTCACATTTTCACTCGCTTGCTCGTTTTCCTGTAAACGTCTATGCGAGAATTACATATTTGAGACAGCATGAATGTTTCGACCAGCTGAGATTTGTTTGTTATGTTAGAGTATTGAAATATTTACATAAGAGATGATACCTAGCTACGTCTCCTTAGAGTGGGATCACGTGGTAAAAAAGGAAAATAAACACTGAAGCTCAATGCATTTATTACGCTGTACTCTCGTTTAATTTCATTACGTTGGCATCTATTTACATATCTGTCACTGATACATATATTTACCCTGTTTTGGCGAAATTCGTCCAATATCTAATGATATCACGTGTAAAATTTGCGTCCGTTTCTGTCGTCACAGGGGGGCTGCTCATTAATGGAAAACCAAACACAAAAGCGATGTCTGCTCCATGGTATGACGTCACCCACGATGGAAGTTTCGACCCCATAAGAAGATCTCCATATCGATGTTCAAACAAGTAGAAATAAGTCTTTGCTTTCTTCTTTACAAGTGCATTGGCGGCCCTTATGGCAGGCGCTAAAAATCCCATATCACTCTGAAGATCCACGTACATACGACGATTTATGATGGGGCTCGAGACGTTGGTGTAGTCAGTGTAGCGGTAGATAGTTGTATTTATCAAAACCGACTTTGGATCTGGTATTACCCTAGATAGTCCTCCTCCTCTGAGGAAAGCTAGGAAGGTTTCTCTGGAAACACCGTTGGTTACGTTTAAGCCCCCAAAAATCCCTAGAAATTATAAAAATATAGTATGACCAAACAGATTTGACAAAAGTGATGATGTACTCATTTTCGATCTTTCGAACAATTCAGGGAAATAATAGAGTGTGTATAAGGAGTTCAAGTTTCTACACAAGCTGATTTAGTTTAAAAGACAGCAGTGCGTTTGATTCAATCCAAGACGAACAGTATAAGCGTGCAATGACAGAGGCTGTTGTGTCACCAATAGGTTTAAGGAATTGAGAAGAAATCTGGTTGCTTTGAAGGTCCTTGTTGTATATCTTTGAGTATCACTCAAGGACTTCCGCGCGAAAAATGTGTAATCTTCGAGTTCTTTTTGTGGTAAATCTATGTTAAAGTTAATGGCGCTCATCGATGTTCGAGCATGTCAAAGAAACGTTTCCTGGAAATAGT